ACTTCGATCGGAAGTAAACGCCTTCATCCAGTTTCAGAAGCTGTAGTTTAATGAACTACTACAGTTTGAGTAACTGTAGTTCAATTACAGTCACTGCTGCCAAACTGAAAAACCACAAAAAATAAAACCAGTGACGCGTCAGAAAAATGTTGTGACTTCTGTTCAGACTTTTCCAGTGAATTCAAAGCCACCTGTTACTCCATCAGCTCACCTTTGGAATTATCCTTAAATGCATTCGGCTCATCTGCTGGATATAAACAACAGAAAAACTAAATATGGCAGTTCTTTTTCTATCGTCATGATGAATGACTTCACCCGACAGCTGCTGTTTCCTGTGTATCCGGAGTCATGGGGAACGCCCACACCATCTTCAACAAGACGCCCTACACCTGGTACTACCGCACCGGCTGGAGGGAAGACGTGAGTTCTCAGTTCTGTAAGTCACAGTTTCACTGCACAGTATTGTGTTTTCATTCTGTATTCTGTCCTGCAGACTGACAATACGCTGCGAGGCCACAGCTCCGGCGAGTACCTCCACGCTGTGCCTCCGTTCGACAAAGTGTCGCTGAAGTATGGAAACCACAGCAACTGGGACCTCCGCTGTTCAGGGGGCGGAGCTTCATACGACCTGAGAGAGAGCGACGACCGCCAAAAGTTTGAGCTGGTCAACAACGTGTCCGGCTTCATCGTCGACAGCTGCCCCAACTTTGGTGAGAGTCCGTCTGTAATCAGGAAATCACTGATTATCAAAGTCAAAGTGAACTTTATTATCAATATCTGTACATGTGCAGTACATACACAGAAATTTAAACGCAGCTTCCCAGAGTCCAACAGTGTGCAACAAAGACAAATGTAAATATATATAAAGAGCACAACTAAAATATACAGGTGTGCAAAAATGGCATCAGTGGCAGCATATTGGGAGACAACAGAGACACTCCTAAAGAGTCCAGTGCTGGATGTAGGTGGATGGGTGGAGGGACTTCAGCATCCAGCCTGCTGGAAGAAGCTGTCTGGAGGCTGCAGAACCTTCACCTGAAGGCAGGTGGAGGGATGGGTAGGGTCCATGAGGAGGAATTTATTTTTTCCCCAACTGTGTTTATTAAGGGCTGCAGGGTCTTACGGTTGGAGGGGTTGCAGTTTCCAAACCCAGCAGTGGCGAGCTGCTCAGGAAAATTCTTGTGGTGCCTCAGTAGAAGCAGAGCGTGATGGACGTTAGGGCTCCTGCTCTCTTCAGTTTGTGAAAGAAGTAAAGGTGCTGCTGCTTTCTAGGCCAGAGACATGGTGTTTATCAAGGAGACATCCTCAGTGATGTTCACCTCCAGACATCTGCTGGTGCTCACCTGATGTTGGTTCTAAGTTCTCCCAAAGTCAACAACAATCTGTTTTCTCCACATTTATGAAGACATTGTGACTTTTGCACCACATGTCCAGCTGTTTCACCTCTTTCCTGTAGTTTGTTCATCATTGTTGCTGATTAGACCCACTACAGTTGTGTCAAACTTAGTGCTGCAGTTGGGTTTGCAGTCAACAGGGTCGGCCTAGAAGAAATTCTGGCAAACCGTCCGGCGCCTCAGGAGGGCAAAGCCGCTCTCCACCAACACTCTTCACAGTGCGGGTGGGGACCTCCTGACCTCGACTGGGGAGGTCGTCGGGCGGTGGAAGGACTACTTCGAGGGTCTCCTCAATCCCGCTGTCACGTCTTCCAAAGAGGAAGCAGAGACTGTGGACTCAGAGGCGGACTCGTCCATCACACGGGCTGAAGTCACCGAGGTGGTTAGAAAGCTCTTTGGTGGCAGAGCTCCAGGAGTGGATGAGATCCGTCCTGAATACCTAAAGTCTCTGGATGTTGTGGGACTGTCGTGGTTACCACGTCTCTGCAACACCCAGGTTTGTTTGGTGGGGGGTGCCGATGAGGATGGCTTCTGTCTTACTGTTGTTCAGCTGTAGGGAGTTTCTGCTCATCTATAGGCGGATATCAGCAAAACATTTGTTAACACGGGTGAGAACAAGGTGTGTTTCTGGAGATGTCTTAAGATAAACATGTGTATCATATGAAATTCATATGAATGAAATACCATAACATGGCTTCGCAGAATGTTGCAAAGGAGGAACATGTAAATCAAAAAGAGCAGGGGCCCCAAGACTGACCCCTGAGGGACACCAGAGGCCACTTGTCTGTTGCTGGAAGTGGTTTCTCCCAACTTTCTGAGCGCCTGTCTTCCTGAGAGGTAGGAGTGGAAGAAGGCAAGAGCCGTCCCTGTGACTCCCACTTCCTGGAGGCGCTGACACAGGATGCCATAGTAATCATAATAATAACAAAAAGCTATTCATATGATGACAGTTATTATGGAAATAATAATAATAGTAATAGTGATTATGACACTAATGATAGGAACAATAATAATGATGTTGATAATAATAACAATATCAATCACAATAATGATGATGGCGACGATGATGAAGATAATAAATAATAATACTTAAATTAAATATATAATTAACTACTTAATTAATCTATTTATTTATTTATTATTGATTAAACAACCATAACAACAACAATAATAATAAAGGTTGCCTCAAAGATATCTGTGAAGGTGCAAGCCCTGTATTGCAGGAGGAGTGCCAGGGATGCAGCAGTGGAGAGGTTTCCCCAGATCAAATATCTGTTTTTTGTCATGTGCATAGTCTCCCACTCTTTTGGCCACTCTGAGATACATGTCAATCAAAACTGTCAGTGAATTCACACCAGCACAGGTGCTTTAAAGGGAGCCTGTGGAGCGTGACTGGGCAAGTCAGTGTGTCTTGAGGAAGTATCCACGGACCCTGACGAGCAGTCGAGTGATTCCCCATACATATGAAATATGTAAGTGGGTGGAGAGAACCAAGGTTACATCGTAACCATATGTTCTCTCTCCTTCTTCATGTTGTTCCCTTTCCATAGAGGAGCAGGACTTTAGATTGTAGTGAAAAATGAGCCACAGTGAGGAAGAACTAAACAGGATTCAAGTAACAGCAGATGTAACATTTATCATCACTCTCCTGCAGCCCGACTCGAAGAGGAGCAACGAGCAGAGGAGGAGAGGAGGCGACAGGCCCAGCTGGAGCAGGAGAGGAGGCAGAGAGAGGAGGCGGAGAGGAGGCGGCAGGCCCAGCTGGAGCAGGAGAGGAGGCAGAGAGAGGAGGCGGAGAGGAGGNCATTTGTTGCCCCACCTCAGAGAATCCTAATAAAATCCTGTGGGGGTGAGGCCCTGGGGAAGCAGGAGGTAAGTATTTCCAGCAAATACCAAAAAACGACCTTATCAAATGCAAATGGAATCACTGCTACTATTTTTCATTTAAACCGGTTGGGTCTATTGTTTTTTTCCCTGCCTGGGATTAAAACCTAATTCTATCGTAACAATTCAAAATGTTGGGGAGACAAATAAAACCATCTCTGACCCTCGAAGCGCTTCCCTATTTTGCATTTCTGTCTTCAAATTAGAGTGCATGAGAAGATCTTTCAGGTTTTGTTTCTGCGAAAGACAGAGATTAGAGATCAGCACATCATAAACCCCCCTCTGCTCCTCAAAATTGGTCTTGAGAGTCAATAAAAAGGTTTTTAGGCTCTCACCACATGTTGTTACCATGGGGACGAGGGTGGTGGTGTTATTCTTCTTCTTCTTCTTATTTGCATTGTTAAAAGCACCGCCGACCTCCGCCTTAACACTTCTAAGGAAGCGCTTCGAGTAACTCCTGGGTCTCAGCACACTGAAGAGGACTCCAGTCGCCCACTTTATATATTTGTGTGTTTTATTCATTATTCTTTCACAATATTCTTGTTTCAGTCTGGAACAAGTGCGCAAAACATTTCACTGTGGGTTAGATTGTGTTTCATTGGGTTTGTGACAAAGAAAGATCTTGAATATTGAATCACAAAACAAGTCAAATTAGATGCTCGATGAGATTAGAAACAAAAGGAGCAAAGACAAGCAAAACATGCAAAATGAACCACAGACTAAACAAAGTGCAACATCAGACAGAACCAGGCAAAAGAGACTTTTAGCTGATGTGTTCTTTGTGTTTTCATCATTTGTGGGTTCAGTGCTGCAGCACTTGTTCAAAGTTCACGACGGTTCAACCAGCTTTTCAGAACCGGGATTTATTACCAAGAAGAACTTGGAGCTTTAAGATGAGTTCTTGAAGCTGCCAGTTTCACCTGTAAGATGACTGTTTGTTCTGGTACCGTCAGCTTTTTGCCCTCGTTGGTTCCTAAGTCAGTGGAAACAGTTAATGTTCTGCGTTGTATTAATGAAACGTTGCAGCAGCTCCTGTCTCACTCACAAGTGTTTTGCTGTTGCTGCAGACGCATTCATCACAGCGAGCCCGTTCTCCGGCTCTGCCCGTTCTGCTGGTTCTTGTAAAGCATGTGCTCCAGCAGCTGCTTTCCTTTAAGTCACGTGGGTTTGAGTGCAGAGCCGCCCCTCCCTCCCTGCAGCTCCAGATAACACACTGGATATACAGGAAGGCAGACAGCTGCTGCACAACAGATTCAACTTCTGCACAACTTCAACCGTCTCAGCTCACTTTCTGTCTGTTGTTTTTTCTCACTGTGGCCTCGTTTTCCACTGCAGCACAAAGTCCTGCACCATGACACAGTCACAACCAGATGTTGGACAGCGAGCTGCACTCTGTCTCATTAAAACTCACCTGTGTGTGTCGGTGGCTGAACATGAACTTCTGACCTGCCCGCTGTGATGTCACGGTGCTCGTCTCTGATTGGCTGTGGACCGGCACTGTATAAGGAAGAGGAGGAAGTCCAGAGGAGGCTCAGAGCTGCAGGAGGCTGCAGGACTGAAGTGAGAGCTGAGACACAGTGAGTCCGTTCATTCTAATATTCAGAGACTATGTTTATTCTAATATTCATACAGATACATTTAATTCTTTTTATTTCTTTTTGATAGTATTTAACTTTAGCCCTTTCTTGTTGTGATTTGATGTTTTCTTTTTTGCTGCTGTATGGAAATAATTTGCCAGGTCTGGGATAAATAAAATATTTCTGCTCTATTCAGACAATCAGTTTATTCTAATATTCGGAGACTCTGTTTATTCTTATTTAATCTAATTTACTCTGGGTTCAGTGTGTGAAACCGACCTTCAGCTGGTCGTGTTTGGAGTCAGATGGGCTCATTTCAAGAGTCTGGCTGGTCTGAGCGCAGTTTGTCTCTACGGATGTTTATACAGTAATCTGATTACATGGCTGAAAACAGTGTGGATGTTATGTGAGCTTCCTGTAAGGAAGGAATTCACCACTGAAAGTAAACAGCTTCAGCTGAACCACCAACTGTAACTGAGTATATTTACTCGAGTACTGTACTCAAGTACAAATCTGCCGAACGTGACCTTTAACATTTATGACATTTTATGAATTGTACTGCTTTAGATTTCAGGAGGAAATATTGTACTGGTTAATCAAACACATTTATACTGTCGGTACTTTAGTTAATACAGGTTTAGTTACTGCAGTCAGATCAGTGAATACAGGTTTAGTTACTGCAGTCAGATCAGTGAATACAGGTTTAGTTACTGCAGT